AAAATACAAAAAATGTCTTTTAAAACATATCATGTTTCATCAAAATGAACAGCAAATATGTTGTGAGTTCAACCTGCTCCGAGGACTAAATTGGATTTAGTCCCGGGGCTAAATGTCTATTTAGTCCCGGTACTAAATGTCTATTTAGTCTCAGGACTAAATTTGGATTTAGTCCGGAGCCCCGGACTAAATTACCAGCCGGACTAAAGACTAAAACACTAAAAAAGACTAAATCCGGTTCATTTGATCTTAGGGGTTGTCTTCTGTAGATCTGTCTCACAAAACGAAGGTGGACATCTTGGTGGTATTGTCGTTCTTCACGAAGGCGCTCTTGTCGCTCAGGTGTGTTGGCTGAAAGGCTCTGCATCTTGCTCCATAGGCCATAGGCCACAACGTGGTGCAAGAACACTTCATCAGGAAGTTCTTCGGCTTGTTTGTCGAGCAGGGCCTTCCGGTGAGATGCAATGTCAAAATCCCAACCGGTCTCATATAGCCAAACACTTCAACCTTGCAACCCAACGATTGAGCGATCTCGGACACTCTTGAGGCACCGGCGTAGATTTCCCAAATAAGGCGAGGACGTGGGCCAGAATGCAACTCAGCTGTCACCATTGCTTGTAGCTGTCGTTCATGGTAGTTCAGGGAATGGTCCAAGCGCTTCCAGTCTTTCAGAATGACCTTTTTGCTTCCGTCAGCTTCCGACGAATGACCGCTGTCCTGAGAGACCCCCTCAACATTCATGTACGTCTTTAAGTTCACGGTGTAGGGCTCCTCAGTGTCGGTGAGGGCGGAATCTGTGGCTGACTGAGCATTTCTGGCCTGAAGTCCGAGGTGAGCGGCAACAAGTATTCCCCGTGGCGACCAATGGTGATGTCCTGCCAAGGAGCGTTATCCCACATCATCAGCTTCTTTTGAAAATTGATGGTCAAACCCAAATTCTCCAAGACAGGTCTGCCCATCAGCATTGGCGTTTCGCCAGGAATCAAAAATCCGGTGATGTACCCGTAGGCGTGATTGAAGAACACCGGGACTCGTGCTTGCCAGCGGCATGTCACACTATGATCTCCTCCAAAACGGAAAACTCGCTGGATTCGAGTGAGCTGGATGTTGTCGGTGTCATACTGGAGGCCTTTGAGGTGTTCAACATAACGATGAAAAGGGCCTGTACCCATGAGGTATGCTGAGGCTCCAGGATCGATCATTGTGGCATCCACTCGTTGTCGTCCCTGTTGGTCTTCAAAAATCACGTGTCCGGCTTCGTCCATTGGAGTCGATGAAGCTGCCATCCCTTAATGTGTGTTGTCGTTTCGAAGGAGAGGATGGCGATGAAGTACCACCTGAGGTCTTTGGACAGTTCGCAGCCATATGACCAGATCCTCCGCAGCGAAGGCACTGAATCGCTGCCGTTGAGCGAGCGCGAGGATCGGGGGCTTTTCCGCCGGGGCGTGGTGGGTAGCGAACTGTGCTGGAGCTCGACTTCCCTTTCTTGCCGCCCTTGCCTTTGCGAGGTCCCTTGCCCTTTGAGGGCGAGCGAGGTGGTGATGCAGAAGGTGATGCATTGTCGTCCTGCAAGGCAACGATGGGAAGATAACCACGGCTCAGCTTGAGATCTGCAAAACGTCTCCGAGCATCGAGGTAGGTGGCATAGGCTGAATCGTACTCATCGACATCCCATTCAGCTGAGGCGGCAACGAATCCTTCTTCTTCTTCTTCTTCGAGTTCATCGGCCTGGAAGTAGCCGGCATCGTGGTCGAAGGTTGACTCATCTTCTTGCCAGGATTCGACGGGGACTTGATCGTAGTCGAAGTGGTCGTCAAACTCCTCTTCATAGAAGACATTCTCATCCTCCCAACCTTCATCAACCACATAGGCGCGTTGCCCTTTGCCACGGCCAAACGGTCGCTTGTCAGCAATGACGGCAGCCTTGTGATCTTGTCCAAGGATCAAGTACAGCGCCTCCTGAATCTTTTGACGTTCCAGCCCAGGAGCTTGTGTGAGGATCATCTGGCGCTGTTCCTTGGTGACGTTGGCCTTTTTGAGAAGGAACCATCCAAGAACTTGTGAGGGCAGCTTGACACCGTGAGCTTGTACCTTGCGGAACTTCTCATCAAACTCGGTGCAGAAGGTCAGGATGGTGGTTCCTGGTTTCCTGACTCCATGAGTGAAGAAGTTCTCGAAGTCTTGAGGCATCTGTACCCTGTTGTCGTAGGCGAAGGCCTTGTCAAGAAGCTCGAGGATGGTGTCAAAGGCTACGTTCTTGAGGTCAAAATCCTCCACCACTTTCCAAGCTGCTCCCTGAAGACTGCCGATCAGGTTGAGGCAGCATTCTCCAGTTCGTTTCTGGAGCTTCATCTTGAGGTAGTAGATGTTGATGCGCTTTCTCCATTCAACATACGATTGCGGTTGGCCATCAAACTGGGGAATGTAGTTGTCCCTCAAACTGGTCGTGTCCAGGCTTGTTGAGGCCTGGGAGGTGGCCATGTTGGCCTGGGTGCCAAGGTCTGTCGACCTATTGGTGCTAGGGTCTGTCGACCCGATGGAGCAGTTTGTTGTGGTTTGTGGTGGTTTGAGGTGTTGTTGTTGTGGTGTGTGTGTTGAGAGGTTGTAGTGGAAAAGGTGTGCCTGGAGATGACCCGGTTAGGTCAGAGCTCCGCTACCATGCAAATGCTGTGGTAGCACGAAGTGCGGACGCTCGAGGTTCCGAACTGTGGTTTGTATGTGAACCGCTCGCGAGGTCGGTTCTTTTCGCAACCAGCGGCCTAAGTGTCGCGGCCCTCCCTTGATTTGAGACGGCAGGTGTGTTCATCTTGTGAACTGACGATCGGCGAACGGCCTGAACGGTTTGCACGGAATGCAAATCACAATACAACATTTGAACAGGCAAAGTGGAACCTCCATGGTACGTTCCCTCCTCTCCGATTGGCGTTTTCCCCGACAAATCTCTCGAAGCTGAGCTCCAACACCCTCGGCTTTTCTCAATGTTCTGCAGGCCATGGAGACCTGTGTGGCCTGTTTGCTGCACACCTGCGTGGTGCAACCGGGGCAGCTGATGCAACCGGCACGGATGCTCCAGTTGTTGGACTCCCCAGATGCTGGACCACTTCTGCAATATCTCAGCTGGTTGGAGGCGTAGCTGTGGCTGTGGGGTAGATGGGACGACTTCGGTGCAGGATCTAGCCCCTGGAGAAGAGGTCGCCACTAGTTTCGGGCGTTTGAGCTGCCAGTTTCATTTCTAAAACTTACCAACAAGGAAAGAAGGCAGCTGACTTGGGTGACTTTCACGGCAGCGCCAGAAAGATGCACATCCTCTTGAATCCTGAAAGAACTGAAGCGGGGCCTCGAAGACCAAAGAAGACAGCGAGTTCATTTGTCCGTCTGGCACACCTAGGTTCGATCAAGTACAGTGATTTGCGTAGATGATACAAGGCCCCCAAAAGCGGTTGAATATGGAATATATAATGGGATCCCCACATGAGGCGAAGGTTTGTGCCATTCAGTCTGAATGAACTGTACCCATACCCTATGGCCATACGTCCCCCTATTCGAAAAGACATGAAACTTCGGGATCTCGAGTCGCCTTCGTAACCCATCACCCCTCAACCTCTTCGCTTCGGAACCAAGAGCGGGCGGCCTCTCGCCGATTCTCAGGAGGCCTTAAAGGAGATCACCAATTCGTCGACCGGGCGCACGGTGCTGGTGCCGCAGCGCGCCTTTGGCGCGCTGAAGAGCTGGCCGGCGGAGCGGAGCTTGCTGCGGCAGAGCGCCGAAGCACTCTGGGAAGCCATCACGGTGCAGGGCCCACAGCATTTGAGGCGGGGCGTGAGTTTTGACAGATCATCCGTGGTGGAAGAGGTGGATGGTGTATTCTATCAATTGTTTTTTTGATTCAGCAAATGAAGGGGGTATGTGATGAAACATGATAAAACAGGGTGAGCTGGTGTCCTCTGAAAAAGCAGGATTTTGAAGGGATCCATCTGGAGAGCTGATACTCTGATGTGCCCATGCCAAATTTGGACCCCTCTCCATACCGTTCCAAAGTAGGTCGACAACAACGCGTTTGGACGTCACGTCACGCGAACGCGAACGCGAACGCGAACGCGAACGCTTCGCGGGGTTGACCAAGCGGTCGACGTCGAGACGAGAGACGAGAGAGACGAGAGAGACGAGAGACGATCGGATCGCCCCCGAGGCACGCCCAAGCCTGGAATGAAGCCTTGCAGCAGCGACAAGTGGGGCAGCCCAGAGGTGGCCCAGTGACCGAGGCTGTGAGGTGGTGAGCGTTTGGTTCTTGCGAAGTCGTTTTGACATGTTCTGACCACTGTTTGTGAAAAAGAAGAGAAAGGACATGAAAGGACACTTGTCATAAAGACCACAACAAACAAACAAAAAACGTCTGTGGGGGAGAACGCTCTCGAACATTCACGAACAGGGCGAGTGTTGGGGCGATTCTCGACGAAGGGACGGAGGTTCAAGCCGTCCGTCCGAAGCCGTCCGTCTGATGGAACACCTGTGGTCCTCCCGCGGTTTCAAGTTTTGTCCTGCCAAGGAGATACAAAAGCGCCAGACAGAGGCCTCGGTGTGGTTTCGACAGCGGAGATTTCTTGCATGCCTAAGCAACAATAGGCATAGGTATATAATCCAACACGCGACAGTGCGGGTGCAATATACATTTGGTTCCAAAGTGGTTTTCAAAGTCTGATCCATGACTTGTTACTATTGGCCTCTTTGACTGCGAGCAGGAATGCCAGCGTGTAGCCCAAGAGTTGCATGAGACTGCACCTGGCTCAGCGCCTCACTGCACCTGAGCTGCCCGTGTTTGTTTTCATCTGAAAACACGGCTCAGGCGTCTTTCTTTCTAGCACAAGTCGATGAGCATTCGGGAGGTGAATGGTGCCAGCCTTGGTGTTGCGCGTCAACTGATGTGGTTTTCGACTGGCTCGCACAAACACGAAAAGGGAGTGCAGAAAACCTCTTCGATTGAACCTTTGGCCACTCTTTCTCGCCAGCTGAAAGCTCCAGGGCTCATATAACTTTGCAGGTTCTAGCCGCATTGATATTTGAGGAGAGTCCTTTTCTAGAGGGTCAAGTCAAGGTGTAGCTTCTTTGCGAGGATGCTTCTGTAATAGGTCGAGAAGTGCAGCAAAAGCGCTTCGGGTGAAGCCCTTCCAAGGCCCAAATTGGCGCGAGTCACACAGGAGAGCTGCAACTTTCCCATGATCAAAGATTACTATTGGGTTGGAGCCATCGCTAGTAGGTTGGAGGCCACCGCTATTAAAAGGTTGAGGCCATCACTAGTAAGTTGGAGCCTAGGCCTGAGAGATCTGTTTTGAAGCCTGAATCCTCGCACGAGCCGTTTGTAGCAAGCGGACTGCCAAAAGTGAGTCTGGCAGGACTCCCTCATGAGAGTTCAGCAGGTTGCCGAAGACCTTTTCAACAAGCAGAAGGCCAGACTTTTTCAACGAGCAGTGTGAAGAGATGCTCCAAGTCTCCATGATGGAAGAGCCAGCAAAACCTCCAAGCCTCCTGCGACTTACTCACAAAAATAGATGCCTGCCAGGACTGCTGGCAACACGCCTTGGAAGACTACGAGGAGCTGAGCTCATCGCACCTGTCGCACATCTCATCACATGAAGAGCTGAGCGATGCCCCTCGCCACACTTGGCCAAGGCCCTGAACACCAAAGCCACCAACTCGCGCGCAGCTGTACAAGAGGCGGGGGGAATGTTGACCGAAGGAGTGTGGGTGTCCTTCGGAATAGGCGAAGCCTCTCACCACTGGGTGTCTCTTTGCTTAGACTGAATCCCACTCGAAGCTCGGCGTTGCAAAGCGGACCGCAACGTTCGCCTTCTAAGCCTAAGCAGCATCCCAGATGCATGCTTGAATTGAATCTTGCAGGTGCGGCGGCAGGCGAGGCTGGTGGAAACTGCTGCAAGGGAGAACTCACTTGTGGACTGTGGACCCAGCCACTACAGCAGCACAGGGTCAGATTCAAAGTTCATTCTCACAAGCCATTGCAGCAAGTGTCGGTTCTCCTCAATGAGACTTTCAACAAAGACACTCGTAAGGGCAACCAACAATACCTCTCACCACTTCCTTTGCCCTTTCAAATACCAATCCACCAGCAGTTTGGACCACTCTTCCCCCCTCCAAAAAAGTAAACTCATCCTACCACACATAGCTTGCGCTCCGCTCCATGACGCCTAGTCCTTCCCCTTCGTCGGGGTACTGGAGGTTGAGAGGAAACCCTGCAGGACAGATCCTACCGGGGGGCCCGTCCAGGTGCGCCGTCACGAGCAAGCCTTTGGGCAAGCGGCCCAGCGCTTCACCGAGGTGGCCAACCAGTCGGAGGACCCATGGGCCAGGAGGGGCGGCCATGGGCCAGGGTTGATGGGAAGGATTGAAGATGAAAGACCATACAGAGTGGGAGAAGGATGAGAAGGATCTCGTGTCTTTTTTCATGCTCTTTTAACATCTAGTTACCTAGTTTTTCTTCATCAGTATACCGATATGGTATTGGCGCTTTTCAACTACTACAGAACCATGGTTATACGGCTGCCGTCGCCGTCGTGGGCACCCGTCGACGCAACGGGAACGTTGCACCAACTCCGGGAATAGCGGTGGGGCCAGGGCGGCCAGGTGACGGATGGACGCCTGGACCGGTTTTTGCATCCAATTCCAAGCATTTTTTTGGAGACTCTGTCAGTATGGCAGTGTGAGCAGTGTGGCTCGTCCGCTTGAGTGCTGAGGCTGGTAGCTTGGAGCCAGCCTCAGTGTTTGCTTTGGCAAGTCGAAGTTCGTTGCATCCCGAGCTTCCTATATAACCGTTTGGAGCACTGAGGACAAGTCTTCTTGTGCCGTCCTGCCAGCACAGTTTTGGATCACGTTGGTTCATGGAAAAGAAAGCTGACCGGAGTTCCACCGAAGGTTTGCTAGCAATGAATCCACTTCATCATACGCGAAAGACTTGAGAGGAGCAGTTTCTAGCAGTTCTGCGGGTGGACATGATAGGTTTGTTTTGTTCCCAAACGCACTTTTTACATCTTGATGTGGCTGAGTGCCACGAAAACACGCATCTCAGCATCTCGGTGTGGTTCATCATGATGAACTGATGAACAAACATGTGCAAAAATCCCTGAATGGCACGGAGTCTGGTTGGTTCTTCTGCTTCTGGTCCGTATGCCAGGAAGCTGCGCTTGTTGGAAGCCCAGCGTGCCCACCTCCGTGCTGCCGTGGAGATCCGCCAGACCTTGCCAGCCCTCGAGCGGGAGCGCGGGGAGCGTCCGCCTCCACCGTACGTCGCTGGCGGTTCCCTGAGATCGAGAGGTTCACCGGTCGCATGGGTCACTGGAGCGACAGATGAGACGCCATCGATTCTGAACTCACTGTGCCATACTATGCCGAAATGATATCTAACTTGGTAACTAGGTTGAAAACACACAGGGTCTGAAGGGGTTGAAGTGGAAGAACAGCTGCAGTCTTGACTTAGACCTGACCTTTGAGTGACAGTCCTCCATCAGCTTTGAAGCTGGAGTTGGTTGACGACAGACGGGGTTCCTGGGAAGCAAGGATGCCAATGTTGCCACTTAAAAGTGAGACAGTGGTCGGACCAGAACTCCTTAGGTGAATTGGGCGAACCGTCATTCACTCACCCCCTCCCCGTCGACCGATGGATGAGCGCCGATGGAGGAGTACCTGCATGCTGAGGATGAGCTGGACACGGCCGGGAACCTTCGGTCCGCAGACTTGCCCTCGGCCCGCCGACGTGCCGACTTCGCCGTAACTTTTTTCTCCGCTAGGCGCAGACCGAACTTCGAAAGCAGAAGCGGCGCTTGCAGGTGTCTTGGAGATGTAACGTGGTGGTTCTGGCAGGCTCCTGGTGATGTTGATTCCCCGAACAGCCAATGAGTCCAATCCCTTTGACCGTCTTTCTCTCCAGGCGTCCAGCTCTCGGCGTCGGCCGGCCAGCAGCCCGGATGCCACCACGGCAGGATATGTCTTGGAGCATCAGTGCGCCCGGAGGCTCAGTGCGAACGATGCCTAGGGGATGTGACTGGAGGAATGTGAATGGCACCGTACGCCGTACGGCGTACAGCGTACGGCGTAAAGGAAGACATTCGCTGGAGTAGCAAGTGAACGTGGTCCGAAGTGAGGATTCAAGTTGAGAAGCGCTGAGCCCACTCCCAATTTGTCATGAAACGCAACTAGAATCCTTCCTTCCAGGAGTTCAGATTTCCCTCAAGATCTAGGAACCAAACGAATAATTAGTGCGATAGTTCTTTAAGGAAGCTCCCCCCCGCCCTCAAACCGCGGGGGAGCTTCCTTGAAGAAGCGTGAGCTCTCCTGCGTCCGGTCGGTAGTAGCTACTCAAGCTACTAGCTACTAGCTAAGCTAACACCTTTTCTCTTCTACCGGCCTAAACCCCCTCCCGAGCTAAATAGATACAATGTTACAACTGTTGTCTCCCCAAATATTCTTATGCTCAAGCCAAAGTCGCTGCAGGAACTCCGCGTAGCACATGCGCAGAAGCGGGTGGCCTGCTCGGAGTATTCAAGTTGCTGGCAAATTTGTGTGTAGACAGAAAGATACAGAGGATTTGGGGAAGGCTCCCTTGGTCAAAGGGTTTGTTTCTGATCATTTTTCCTTTCTCCTATAGCTTAAACTTGTTAAAACTTGCAGGCGGATGAAGTCAGTGTTGGTCATGACTAGCGGTACGCTTGGCGTGCCGGCACCAGTGACCAGCCTTTGTGGCTGCGTCGAAAGGCGGCATCACTAGGCATGCAGATTGCGCCCAAACTCGGCCTTCTGAACTGGTGCTGTGAATGGTGGCAAGAGTTGCTGTACTTACTCAGATCCATGGATTCTTAGTCACGAACTGTCCCATGTATTCAACTCAGGTAGATGACCTGCAAGAGCAACTCCGTGAGGCAGAGAAGAGGCCGCCGGGTTTCACCAGGCGAAGAGAAAACGTGGCACCGTGGTGGTTTGATCCTTGTCAGTGGCTGTTTTCCGGTTTTCACCAGGGGTTCTATGATGCATTCTCCATAAGACGCTCCCGAACAAAGTGCTGAACTTTGTCTGACAACCATTTGGGGAAACCTTTCACAAGGTTCTGCCAGAGGGTAAGTTTCCAAAGTCAGCATTCAGCTCAGCTTGGTGCAGATCGAAGCCACCTGGCAGGCTGCAAGAAGCGGAGACCAGCCTTCCCATGGAGTTGGGACCGCACGAGGAGGATGCCAATTGTTTCGAAGAGTTGTGTAGTCGTTGGGATACTTGCAGAGAAAAACCTCTTGGAAGAAAGGCAGACGAACATCATCTTCGCATCCCTTGTTCGTTTGTCAACCGGAAAGTTGTGTAGTCGTTGGTATTTATCACCTTGAGAGTAGTGTGGCCAGGGTTTGAAAGTGTTCTATATTTCATTTCTATCATTTTGATGAGTCTTTGAAGTGGGCATCAACTTCAATGACTTCCATGTCTGTTGGAGAACGAGAGAGATTCAACAAGTACGTTGGAGCCACTCCAGAGCCCGTTCTGCCTTCTGCATCGGGCAGGAGAGCGGCGGAACCAGCAGCTCAGGTGTACAGCCAGATGCTGTGCCAGTGCTGGGGGTCTTAGAAGAGGGCGTAGACTTGGACAAGAGGAAGACGACTAGGACAGCTCAAGTTGAGTTTACTGTCATTTCATGGGTTTCCCTCTTTTGATCATCACAGAAGGCAAGCTTCGGCAGTGGCGTGTGTCTCAGGGATCCTCATCTCACCAACGAAGAGCGCTTGGCACTGAAGCTTGCCACGCCTTTGCCTTAGCATAGGTCGCAAGGAGACCATTGATACTCTTGGGAGTGTGCCTAGAGGCTGCCAGTTGTGGTCTTAGGAGGCACTGCAACCACAAAAAAAATATACATACACACACACACACACACACTTTTTTGGGGGTTTCACTTTCACCGTGCATCTGACCGTGTGAGGTTGCAACAGTTCCACGAGGAGATGGTGGCATTGGAGCGGGGCCTTAACATATCGACGCTTCTGAGTCAGTCGCAGCTCTGGATGAATTGAACTGACTTGTTTTTATTGTTTAACAAACCACTTGTACTTTTTTGCGTGTTCTTGCAGGGCCTCAGGTTTTGCATGATGAACAATTGCAGATTTCAGGTGGTTGAACCCGGGACCCCCACGTCTGCCGTCTCCCAAGGCGTCTGAGTCCCAGGCAGAGCATGATAAGATGCTGCGGAAGGCGGCTGAGAGGGCGAGTTTGAAGAGGATATATAGATCATGGCACACTCCAGTGTGAAACGCCCAAGCAGCAAATACCAAGTGCAGCGCATGGTGTGAATAGTGCGTCCACTGTTGACAGTGGCCGACAGTGGCCCACTGATCAAACTTGACTCCACAGTGTCCCCTGGGAATGTGAAGACCATGTGCGGCAGGTGGAGCAGAGAAAGGTTCAAGCGGCCTTGAAGCAAGCCGTGGAGCCTGACTTCATGTGCCTCGGAAAACGTTGATACTGGAATTCGATGTTTTTAGCACGTGTACAAGAAGCCACCAGACTGTGCTGATACATGATAGCTGACAAGTCTTTTGTTTCGACTTTCTTCGTCTCATGTAGGTGCCCCATCCTGCATGAGAGAATGAAAGTGCCAGCCAGAGCCCCAGACGGGAGTGGATGGAATGGACCGGGGCCAAGGGGAGACAGGCTTGGCACCACTTGGCACCACGTCTCGCGAGACGGACGTGCCGTCCACGACGACGTGCACCGGCCATGCGACATGCGAATTGGCCATGGGATCCTGGCGCTTTTGCGCTGGCGCTGAGACTTGGCTTCAGATTTGGACTGGGTTGCCGGGAATGTGTTGAAGCAACTCAAAACATTTGATTTCGTGATAAGCATGGAGATTTGTTCACGGCTTGACGGCTTGCTTGTTGATTTTGTTGGAAGGATGAGCTCCAAACCTGAAACTTGGAGTATCCCAGGATAAGAGGGTAGAACTCCATCCGCAAATGCCCATGCGTGTTGATGTTTACGCTGCCATTTGAGCTCGATTTAGTGGCATGAAGGGGCTACGCCAGCCCGCGGAGCATGGCTTGTGATCAGGATGGGGCGAGCCAGGCAGAACTATGGTGACGATGACGAGGGCATCCTCGCTGCGATTGCAAACAAAGTACTAGGTGGGGTGAGATCAAGAAGTTGCTGTAGATGGTGATTTTGAGATTTCCGACCTGAACAGAGTGTTGCTTCTCCTTTGGAAGCATTTGTACTTTCTCCTGATAACTACGAAGAAGAGAAATCATCCGGGGATTTGTATAAGCCGAAACGATCTGCTTACATAGACAATGACCTGTCCTTGGGCCCCACATGCCACGCCACATGTCCTTCATAACCCTGAGGCCCTGTGCGGGGATGTTTGGGAATGCTGCATTCTTCGAGACCTCCAGAACCAGCGGTTGAGGTGGTCGAGCTGCTGCAAGATATGAAGATCACACCTCGTTTGGTGATACAGTTCCATAAGATCTTCAAAAGGCTGGAGGAATCAACAATGCTTCTCAATTTCAAGAGTAAGTTGAAGTAGGGGATGGGGGGTTCATGTTTTCATAGTGTACTAGTCCCTTCAGACGTTTGCCGAACATGGAAGACATCCAAAAAGAAGCGAAGCTGGAGCTTTCCATCATGCTGTGCGGATCTTCACATCTTCCAAGGGACCATATGGTGACCACATCAAACAAAGGAGGCGGTGAATCATCGCTTTGGGAGTATCCCCCAGAACAACTGGGTGGATTCAAATAACTCAGGGACCACTTGAAGATGGTCCACGAAAAAAGCACTTTGCTACTAAGATTGAACCATCTCAAGTGATTCTCCGACTCGTTGCGGCCAGGCTGAAGCAGACCGATGCGATTACGCTGCGGGTGGGGCCCAACGAGGTGAGCACGGCCAGCATGACGCGGCTGGTGAAGAATCACCGGAAGTGGGTGGCGAAGATTCTCATTCTGCTCTTGGTGCCTGGGATGTGCTGATGTTTCTTTTGTTCTTTATTCCAGTCAAATTCTCATTCTTCTGATTCTCGTTCTTCTCTTTCGTTCTTTTTTTGGTTTCTTTTGTTCTTTATTCTTGACAATTCCATCAAATAAAGAACACAAATAACCTCATCACCTGGTCATGCAGCTGCCTTTCTTCAGATGGCAAAATTCCGGATCTTGCCTGGGTAGAAATAGGAGTCTAAGGCCACACAGGACCAGTTGCCACAAAATGACCAGCTTAAGTTGAAGGACTCGCCTGAGCAATGCTCAGGCGTGTAGCCGGAGTGATTTCCTGCTTTTGGGGGTCGACACTGATCCCAGTAGAGGAGATGGGGATCGGTGTTTTCTCGGTGTCGGTGATGGGTACGGTATGACAGATGTGCCCACTGGAGTGGTCCTTGCCCTTGGTACCACTTCTTTATTTGGCAGAAGAGTTGCCTTCTAAGACCTGCCAGGCTGGGGACCTCTTTTGATGTTCCTTTCGTCCTGTTATACATGTTATGCAAGGTCGGGTTTATAAGGCCCCGTATGTCAGATTGCAACAGTGATCCTTGCAGTTGCAAGAATATAGTGACCTGAACCACCTAAGGACTTGGCCGGCTTCAAAGATACAGTGACCTGGGATGGCTTCCTTTATGTGACTTGGCCTGTCTCGTGAGACTCTGGACTTGACATTGTCTAAAATGTCTAACATGTCTCTAATGGACGAGCGAGAGAGAGAGAGAGAGAGCAACACCCTTTGTCTTGGTGTCGCATTCTATGATATCAAAATCCGAGTCAACAACAGGGCCCCTTCGTCTGGAGCAGATTTTCTGAAACATCCATAGCCCAAGACAGGGACTGGCCCCAACATCTCCATGTCCAACTCGCCCAACATCTTCTCCATGTCGCGTGGTCGACGACATCTGCGTTGTCTCTCGAGGTGACGATGCAGTTTTGCTCCCTTTCCAAGTTGGAGCTCTGCCAGGTGATGTTCTACATCGTGAGCAAAGAAATGAGAAGTTGGACGGTGCACTACGTCACCAGTAGTCAACTTCAAGAGCTCCTCGTCAACTGAAAAATGATTGAGATGTTTGGGGGACCTGCTGTTGAGAGATGTTTCAAGCATTCTTCCGACCGTCGTTTTGGGATCCCTGAAAGCATGACACAGCTTTAGGCAACTATGAAACCTTGTAAAGGAGCACCCCATCTGCAGAAAGAATCCCAGGCTGTGGAAGAACCACTTGAGTGACAGCTAAGGTTCTACGATGACTATTACACCTGCCCTGTGGCAGCCTTCAATACCAACTCCATCGGCTTTGCCAAGCTTCCTTTGGCCAAGTACCGCATGCAGGAGAGGTGTGTGGCTAGGAAGATTTCAGGCTTTATTTAGGTCCTTTGTTGGCTTGACTACTGCGGTTGATCACACTAGTCAGTAGGTTTCTTCAACTTTTAGCTATCATGGCTGATTTGAGCGATTTCCTCCATGCCTAACTTGGAAAGAGGCCCAGCTCGACCATTGGACAATTGAGCGAAAGCTTCTTGAAGCGTAATAAATGGACGCCCACAAAGGTCTAGGTGGACACCTTTGAGTGTGTAAGTTGATTGTCATGTGAGGCCATTTGGGCTTCAAGTTCGACAGGAGGCTACATGTCAAGTACCTTGAATGGTTGCTGTTCGTCACCCTTTCAGCTGGCTGGTTGGAAGGTGTTTTTTCTGACCATTTTCGAAGAGTGGGAGCAAGGGAGGTGTGCCAGTGGACCAGTAACCCCCATTGCTTAATAAATCAGCGAAGCCGGCTCTAGAAAATCTAAACTCGAAATTCATTGTGGCAAACAAACTTGGCGAAGGTCATTTTTTTGGTAAAGGCGCTCCATTTCTTAAAACAGGCACCACACAAAGGCCAGGACGCCAAGCGCTGTGAGAGTGAGCATTGCGTGGACCCCGCTAGCATCACCTACCCGCTAAACGCGCCATTTTAACGAAGGGGGACGTTGTACATGCGCCGCTTGCAAAAAAAGAGTATGCGCGGACGAAGAAACGCTAAAACAGCAGTCGATGGTTTTCCTTGAAACTGTTATATATGGCTCTTGTTTTTCCGGCATGTGCGTAGCAAAATTTTTTCAGCATGTGGTTAAGCTCGTAGCAAAACCCACGAGGACAAAACTCAGAGCTTCGGTGTGTCCGTGTTTTTCCGACGGACGAAGTCGCTTCCGCGTAGGACTTCATCGAGCTTTGCTACCGCTTTAGTCAGTTGATCAATCCCTGCATGCACCTTCAGAGGTGCGGTTGGCTCGGCGTTTTGGTGTTTCACGCGCGACTCAGCGGTTGGAATAGCAACCCAAAAACATGTCAACGTCTTTGAAGAAGCCGTGGCCTGGTATAAGACCCCCCCAACGCCACCACTGATGCTCGCAGGTCACTGCAGCAGTCACTGGGTTCGTTGCGGTATTGGTGCAACTTCGATCGGGTCAAGGCTCGGGTTCTGAAAATAATCGACCGAAACACGATGAAAAAAAGAACACAACGAAAGACAAAGCCGTGTGAGTATTCGTGCCTTAGAATTTCTGTGACCAAGCTGGATTTGGAGCTCTCCGAAGATGTCACGTGAATTAGAACCGAAACTGGCTTTGTGAAGAAACTACTTTGAGCCATCGGCCAATGCTCTGATGCTTTTGTATCAGGAGCACCCTTGCGATCCATTGTTCTAGTTCTCGACCATTCGAGGTCTACAACCGAAAGATTAACATCGACTTTTTTCGATACCAGAAAGTCACTACGATCCTTGAGCTCATGCAACGGCAAGCTGGAGTTGCCTTGGGGCCGATTCAACAACATCGTCTGGCAATGAGTGAGCACTTTCTGCATTCCATTGACAAATCCAGCCCTGGATTTAAGGCCAGCAGGGGGTTACATTTTGCCAATTCTTTTCAACTGCGAATGAACCAGAACCTGTTTGTTCTGAGACATCAAGGGTGTCTCAAAACAATAACAAGCCAGGCTAGGCCTGTGCAAAGCCCCGGCTGCAGAACCTTATTGGCGGAATTCCAAAAGCGACAACCACCTCTCGTCAAGTGATCAACATTAGGGTTGCATGCCGTATCCCTGACGTGACTTTCGTCTATTATATTCTTTCCAGGATGACCTCGAGAAATTCAAGGCCACTGTGTTGCGAGCTTTGGAAGTCTGCCGCCCCGTGCGCTGCGGGGTTTTGCCGATCCCAACCCTTGGTGTGAAACCGCCCACCAAGACCAAACTGCAACGTGCTACAGCTGCAAGACGCCAGAAAACATTTTGATGGTTGGTCAAATTCTAGTTCAATTCTAGACAAAATGGGATTCTTCTTTGAAACAGCAGCACATGCAGAAGTTGCCCCTTGCCCCCTTTTGATTGAGTGAAACTGCCTGAACAAGGGCAGACTTCCATACGCCAAGAATTGCTTTCCATCTCACTGCTGCAATTTCCTCACACACACACACTTTTTGACTAACCCATCCCCAGTCTGCCGCTGTAGCCGTTTTTCTGGTTTTCCTGCGATGAGGGTCAAGCAGCTCGCCCGAGCTGCACTCAGGTGAAGTGAAGCTGCCGAAGTGGATGACCGAGCAGCTGGAGCAGAACTTCGCACCGGGACTGTACGGCGGGCACTCCTTGGGCCACGCGCTGCAGCTGGAGTGGGCGAAGCGCGAGAAGGTGCCGCCCTCCCTGGACCGCGGCCCTGACATGCCCAAATCCGTGGAGGAGGAGTGATCCGGGAGGAAAAGTGTTGGTGGAAGCTGGTACTGGTAAAGAGTACCAAGTGTGTGGGCTACTAGCCTTGGTTCTTAAGAATCACTCTCCAGCCTGAATGACTGCCCTGCCCATCATCATATCATCTCAAATCTCGCCTTCTTCGTGTGCAGCTAACTTGGTGAAGAAAACGCTGAAACGAAGCAACCTTTGCCTGTCAACCTTTGCACCCCCCAGTCCGGTGGGCTCTGGTCCCTGGTCCAGGCCGAGCGCTTGATCCGGTCCACGTTCGGCGCCACGGCGGCTTGGAAGGCGACCACGGTGCGGCAGATCGCCGCGGAGCTGTTCCTCCACGCGGCCAAGCCGCCCTCGGAGGACAATCGAAACCTGACCCAGGGTGGTTATTTTTTTGGTGTCTGTTTTTCATGGGAGGTTTGAGCATGGGGTGCTTGTCCGGATCTTTCAAGGAGCTTTTGGCTGCTCATGGGGAGAACTTTGATGGCTCTTTTTTAGTTCTTGTTTGGACTCAGTTCGTGTTTTCGAACGTTTTCGACTGGATGTCGACGGATGAACCGACCGGCACATCCAAGGAATGAAGGCTGTGATCCGCAGTCAAGAGATGGAGTTCATCCGCATGAGCCGTGATGATCATGAACCTCCAAACCTGGTGACCACCATGTTCCGACTCTTTCAGGAGGAGCTCATCCACCGAACCGAGGAGCCAGATCCCACAGCCAACCTGAACATTCAAGTAGTCCGTAGTTAGGTGGGTATGGCCAGATGATCAGATGGTAATGGTGAATGGTGTTTTCCTCTGCCACCAAGTCCAGAAGTTGAGCTTTGGAGACTTTGGAGTTTTTCTGGCCACACTCAAATGGTCCATCACTGATGGTTCTGTTTGCATGATTCCAGTCCGGCTCAAAGACATTCAGCTTGGTAGAGAATTCAGATGCTGTGTCCATAAGAGATGGACCCAAAGCAGCCAACGACCTTGGCAAGTCAGCCAACAGATGGCTCAAGGGCGACCTGAAAACGAGCCAAGCCGGGACCACCATTTGTCAAGTGGGGGGGGAATACACCACCTGTGCAATCGCCAGCGTGTGAAGTTCATCCCTTGTTTTGGACTCCCAGACGCCAGCGCCAAGGAACGCCACCGGTGTGCAGCTTCCGTTTCCAGCTCTCAGGCGGTCGCCTTGCCCGCGTCATAGTTCGGAGGCCGTGGGGAAGGAGATGAAAGCTCCGGATTGGCCCAAAGTCATTGTGCCATTGACACCAGCGAGCCCACCCTCATTTGGTGGCCGGCACTGGCCATTTGTCCGGCAGCGAGCGGCTCTCGTACGTTGCTTCGCGCCTCCTCCTCGTCGATGCCGCATGCGCCGATCCTCGTCACGCAAAAGCCGCTGGTCTGACGAAAGAGCCAACGGGTCTGCGTGAGCCAACTGTCATCTGATCAGCAGTTGGTTGGTCGAGCATTCGCCAAAACATCGCTCACAGAGCTGCGCGCCTGTAGTTGGGGTTGCGAGCCCAGCATGGATGATAGCAGGCAGTTGAGGGTCCTCGGAATGCAGTCAGACGAGGGATGAAGCGCAGAACCTGTCATCCATATTGCTTGATGAGACGGTGAGACTTGTCCCATTCACTACAGCAGCCAGTAGAAGTTGAACACTTTCGTGATAATTCAAGAGGGCTTTGTTGGGTTTCAAGTTTCAACCATCATCGTCCACTTTACCAATGAATGGCTCTCTATATATATATATACAAAAGGCTACTACTGGTCGATGAAGGGGCCATCTCATCCACTTTCAAGAGGGTACCCACCCTAGACCTGCCTTTTTTGGCGCACATGCGGAGAGATGCCTGATTTTCTCCAAGGTCTTGGCAGCAGATGGTTTCACCTACGAGCGGCAGGCGAGTTTTGGTCAGAATGCCTACTTATAGGCTGACCATCCCTTGAGCTCGAAATCCCGGATGGAGATTTCTGGTGACTTGTGCAACTCTTGAGCTGAACCTTTTTTTTGCCGGTTTGTTGATGTGGAGTTTTTGGGTGACTCTGAGTGTGAAGAGCTTGTGAACACCCGACATCCCCGTGTGAACGACCACCCGCAGGCCATCGAGAAGTGGCTTTCCATGCACAACACGTCTCCCATGACTGGTGCGGTGCTGGCCCACCGGTGCGACGGGAAGCTGCCTGCGGCTGGGTGGGGCCAAGGTCCCAGGCCTAAAGAACAGAACAAGGAAGACAGAAAGAAAGGTAAACAAATCGAAAGGTCTAAGTCAAAAGAGGGAAGAAAGCAATATATATATATATTTATATATATATTATATTTATATATATTCAATACAACAGAAAAAGAGTCTAAGGGAGGCTCGCATGTCAACAAACCAAGCACCTGATCGCCAACTTCGAGCCTGGAACGCTGGAACCGTGGAAGCCTGAAACCTTTAAACTTTGGAACCATTTTAGAAGCAACTTTGACTGCAAGGCTTTTCGCTCGGAAGCCTGGTTTTTGGGCTTTGATTGCACTGTTTCGCCTTGTGACTCGGGCGCTAGACTCTGATCGCAACTTTTTTTGCATTCTGGATCGAATCCATCCTTTGCCTAGTACGAAAGGTATTTCTGCAAAGTGGGTGCATCCAGTTTGGGGGTGTGCCAGGTACTTGACCGAGAACTTTGCTTTGCGGCATCTCATTGAAGCATATGAGACGCAGCTGGCCGAAAAAAGGACCCTGTCCAGCCGTCGTGTTGGGTTTCATGGGAGTTGGAGAGAGCCTCTATAGGCCTGTGGTTGGTCTTTGTTTCTGTTTTTGTTTGGATCTTGGAGATGTTTGCAGATTTTTGGATCAAAGTTCTCCTAAAGTCTTTCAGCTGCTGCCCATCATGTGCAAGTCAGACAGCTACGTGCTCGATGAGAGCTTCAATCCGGAAGAGTTTGTCGCCGACATCAAAAAGGCCAAGGCCGCCGTCGGAGAGGCCACCGAGGAGGATGCTCAGCACCTTCACCGTTTGGTCCTGATCTCCCAGGTGCGGGTGAAACACCCAAACAGTGCATGAGCGACCCCTGTTGAGCGACCCCACGATTCTCTTTCCCTAGTTCCCACTAGTTGGCAAGAATCAGGTGGTTTTGACCAGCGCGTCGGAAATTCCGCACGTCTCTTCTAGATTTGAGTGGGCTTCTAGACTGGAACCGCACGGTCTGGAGGTCCTGCTCTATGGTGGCCACCTCTTTTTGCTGCTGGGTGCGGCCATGCCTTGGATGGCGGCATTGCTGCTCTGTGGGCTAGGCCGAGTTGCTGAGAAGTTGGAGTTAGTGCCACCCATGTTTGTTTGACACATCTTTTTGCCAAACTCCGACAATTGGCGTTCGTTTTGCCGGTGTGGAACTTCCCAGGTCTGACCAGGTTTGGCCGAACAAAGAAAACCCTCCTGCCCAATGGGCAGAACAAAGCATGCTATCGCCTTAGCATGGGACCCTGACAGCTAAGCCAGTTCATCCCCCTGTGGCCTTCCAACACCCCGTAGGTGCCTGCATGATTGCCTTCGCCCGGTGCATGAAATGGGCCATCATTGGACACCATATTTCCCACGGTGGCTACGACAGCTTGCAGAAGAACCATCCCAATGCCTTGCCGGCACACTACAAGCGGGGTGTCTTTGCCGTTGGCATCCGACGCTTCTTCGACTGGCTGGACTGGATGCTGCCTCAGGCTTGGGATGTGGAGCACAACAAGGCTCACCACTACTACCTCTCTGAGGAGAAAGATCCAGACTTGGTGGAGCACAACTTCGAGATGCTGCGCAAGTTCCCTTTGCCCAAGAGCATGAAGTATGTCTCCATGTTGCTCTGGGTCTTCACCTGGAAGCTCATCTATTACTCTCCCAACACCTACAAGGAGCTCATGCTCTCCAAGAAGGAGGGCTGGTTGGCACGGAACTGGCCCAGCTGGTCCAAGAAGACGGACCCTGTGGTGATCTTTGATGTTTTCAGGATGCCAGGTGAGGCTTTGATCAGAGGAAAGGTCATGGATGCCTTCTTCTGGTTGGTCTTTTTCGCGCAGTGGAGCACAGCAATTTTCCCAATGCTCATTTCCGTTCTGCTCCCTGCGGCATGGCCACTCTTGCTGGGCAGGGCTGGGCTTTGGTTTGGGGCCACTACGGCAGGGCAGGCCGCGATTCGAGCATTGATTACTTCCCTAGTGGCAGACATGCTGTCGAATGCACATGCCTTCGTGATCATTGCTTGCAACCACTCAGGTGGTGATCTCTACCGATACTCCACATCTTGCAAGGCCTACTCGGCAGAGTTTCTGCTTCGCTGCACCTATTCCTCAGCCAACTTCGAGTGCGGCAATGATCTCATTGACATCGTCTACGGATGGCTCAACTACCAAATTGAGCACCACATGTACCCTGACATGACGCCGCTGCAGTACAGGAAGTTCCAGCCACTTGTGAAAAGCATTTGCAAGAAGCATGGTGTGATGTACGTCCAGCAAAATGCATTGAAGCGCACCTGGATGATGTTCCAAGTGGCAGTTGGAGATGCGCAGATGAAGCGGTGCACTGCACTGGTGCCCCCAAAAGCCTATGGAAAGTCGGAGATCGAAACGTCCACCGTGGCAGGTGGATGAGTCCTCGAGAACTCGAGTACTGGAGTGATCGCGAGAGAACTCGCAGTTCTTCCACTGATGGCAGTTCTTTTAGGCGAACCCTGGAATCCAGGGTGGCTGGCAAATCTGCCAGCTGGCAGATCTGTCTCATCAGTGAATGTTCCAAGTATAGGGCATTCCGCAGCGCATCACTTATGGTATGCGTAGAGTGGATTTGCCTCCTAGTATAGAATCTCAACGTTTTTGCAGGAAGGCGAATTCCACCCAAATTCGGCATCTGTGTTCCGCGCGTCCAGAGTGCCCAAAAAGGGACAAAGGCACGTCATGAGTACATATTACAGAGGGCGAACGCCTTCCAGTGGGCATCCGCTTGATGTTGTGCTTTGTGAACAGCAGACCGAACCGCTCCACTGCAGGACTTGCGAAGGTCGAAGAGGTGGAGTCTCAATGAAGACATGCCCCGGACCTCAGTGAGCACATTGTTTTTTTCTTGACCAGGGGGGCAAAATCACATGAAATCATCAAGAATGGAAAGAAATCCCTTGAACACTTCTCCATCATCGACTCATGTTGGGTGCCTGACCGCCTGGGTTTCTGGGCTTGGTTTTGATCTGCTTTCAGAGCTCCGAGGTGATCTAGCAGATCTGTCAGACGAGGTCTCCTGCTTAGCCGCTGGAGGTGTTTGAGATCTCTTTTCTTTGTGACGCCATGGGGCGCCATGTGACGCCATGGGGCGCCATGTGACGTGGTTTTCTTACGAACATCGGAGATTCTAAGGACGAGCAGAGTGACGAGGACGGGTTTTGATGGTCAAGACTGAAAAGAGACAGCCATGGCTTGAGGAGGGCATCTAAGATATTAGTTAAAGTATATATCATGTTAAATCTGGCTGGTTACAGTTCAGTCTCGAGTTCCAATTTCCATTTATCAATCAACTGCCATTTCTAGCAGGGCACTTGCCGCTTGCTCCCACTGGGGAACTCAAGCAATGTGTGGGATCCATTTGAGTGTTGAGGGAGTCTTGCCTCCCACAGGGAAGTCAGACTTGTCACGCAATGTGCAGCCGAGGAGGAGGATGAGGACGATGATGCTGAATTTGATGAAGATTGGGACGAAGGGCAAGCTAGAGACACAGCCATGTCCTGAGGTGTCCACAGATCTAAGGAATCTGAGGTGTCCTTCACAGATGAGATGCTTTAAGCCTTCACTCAATTCATTTGAACCTATTTTCACTTCATTCTTCATCCGATGGGCTTTACCAGGCCACATGAAAAAGAAGATAAGAAGACACTTGGACCCGTCCCTGGCGTGGTTTTCCGTCAGGTTCGTTCCCGGCCCATCCTGAGAGTGGAGGAGGAGCCGAAGCGTTTGGCGGATCATTCCAGTGCCCACAGTGTGGTGGGTTAAGATGTTTGGCTCTGAAATTGTAAGCCGAGTCATCACGATGAGACCAGCACCCAACGTACCATCTTCACTTTGCAACGTACACAACTGGTTGCGGCATCATGGCCAGTCGCTGACTCGTGCTCCTTGGACTATCAGTCTTGTTTGTCATTAACGTTAGGTGCATTCAAAGCCTCTTTGGCTTCAGATCTCTTAGAATGAATCGCAGGAAAGCAAGGCACGTATCAGTACTTACTAAGACGTTGAGCACCATGTACTTCATGAATCTCCATGGCTTGAATTGTTGACTTATCAATGGCCTCGAGCAGATTCTTCAAAGATGGAGTTCTCTGCATAGATCCTTCAATAAGTCTACCAATGATTGCAGTACCTGCCAATCACGACCATATTCTCTGACAGTGTGCACCTGTTGCGGGAATGACCGAAGACTATGAGCACCGTCGTTACAGATGTGTCCAGCGTGCTGTGCTACAAACACTCAGTGACCTACACGGTGGAAGGCTCGTGTCGGGATTGTAAACAGCTGAATCCTTGACCTTTTCAGGAGGTCCTGGTAAGGTAAGGGGATTCTGTTTTTAATGGTTTCAAGATTTCCTATCACAGTAGAGCTACAGGGTGCCTTGGCCATTGTGAAGTAGACTTCCAGCTTCGCTGCACATGGCTGTGCACCGCAGGTGTGCATGAAGAACGACACTGGCAAGCTGCGAATGGCTCTTTGCTCCTCGTGCGCGGCCGTATTTTTGGCAAAGATAGTGAGGCCGGGGGCATATGGGAGCATCTGACAGATATCAAGGTATTGATGTTGGAGTGCACGGGACCATTCTGCTATATTTCTGCCCGGGACAGAGGGACACATCCGCCTGTACTTCTCTTGAGACCGCCTTTCACTTGTTGAAAATACATCTGCGGATTTGATCGATGAAAAAGGATTCTGCTCATCGTGTAAGGCGTTCCTGTGATTCAAACGTCCCATTAATTCCATGACACCATCGAAGACAAACATGCAAAGCTGTTGGAGCATTTGGTTTGTGGAAGTGGTCTTCCAGGGTCTCTGTTTCTGTGGTGTGACTCTGCTTCTCTGGGCCTGGAAGAAGGCTTCTTCATTCCAAACACCTAACTTGAAAAGGAGAGGCATTGTGAGCAGGCTCATGGTATTTGTTCGGAGTTTCGTGGTCGTGCTGATCATCAGGAAAGTCCATGATATGATCAGCTGCCGATTCCACGCATCTTCCAGGATATTCAATCCACTGCTGCTAGGTTCTCTCCTGGGACACCGTGGCCTCGGAGCTGACTCAGCTGGCGGCTTTGCCAGATTTGGCAGATGTTTCAAGGCTGGATTTTTCAGACTGAAACAGACCTGCGCACTTAGAGACTTTAGAGCCCCTAAAGATATTCTGCGCGTCCTGTACACCGCATTGGAGGTACTTCTCCAGATTGCACGGATACTTTTGGGTAACCTATGTTTCTGCTGCAGACTCTTTGCTTTCACTTTTTGCCGTTTCTGATGCAGTGGGTATGACGCCCATGTGGCTGGGATGTGGCCGGGATGACGAAGGAGATTTCCTCTTGCTGTCTCCTTATTGGCCATTGGAGCAAGTACCTTTGGCTCGGCCCAACGTGCATTTGCAGCAATCCTCCCCAAGATTGCTGCACTGCTGGTCGGCCAAGGATGGCTTGGCCACATCCAAGCCTGATCCATTCTATGGGCTGCATGAGGCCTGTGACCTTGAGTCGCCCACCAATGCCACTGCTCGCTTGCAGGAAGCATTGCTTCAGGCAGTAAGACGCTGCACGGTGGGGGAAGAGCATGTTGGTCTTCTTTTCAGTGGCGGCCTGGACTCGGGGCTTCTAGCTTGGATTCTGACCAGCTTCTCGTCGTGCAAGTGCTCCGGCTACACTGTTGGTTTTCACATGGAAGACAAGAATATCAAGAACAAGCAACTTGACCTTCAGAGTTTCAGTTTCTGCCTGACTTGAGTCCACCAGCCACGCTAGAGTTTCAGTTTTGAACCTTGTGAGCAGAAGAAAACGACCACATCCACACATGTGACCACTGCATAAGGTATGCATATCCGGAGGACCTTTCCATGGCAGAAGTGGCTGCTGCTGAGATGTCTTTGCCATGGAATGCCCATGTCTTGGACTTGAAAGAGGCAGCAAGCGTCTATCATGGCTGAAGCGTTGCCTCCCATGCATTTGCATTCAACAGTCTAGCAGTCTAGCAGAAGGGAGGTACCCACAGCAGGTGATCCAGCGTTGTTCTTTGTGTGGTGTCACCTTTGGCAAAGACAACACGACAAGTGCATGTTGTCTCAAAGACAGGGGACGATTGGAACGCCAGCAAGCAGCCGGAGTTCTGCTTCATGACAACTCATTCATTGGGTGGGGGCAACACCAGTCTCCTCTCCCCATGCTTTCGTTTCTTTTAAACATAGTTTAAATGCACGTTGTGATGTAGAGAGGCAGAGCAACTTCTTCTGCAATGTGCTCCAGTGGTGGCTGATTTGAATAGTGTCAAGGCTTCGGTGGCGATGACTCTTGGGCTCAGATTTGGAAGACTTTCTGCTTGCTTCCAAATCTGGAACAGCCCTTCTGAATCCACTTCTTTGTATGTTAACTCGCCAAAGAGCAGCATTCCAATACTTTTTTCCCCAATGCCTTTCAGCCCCTGTTCAGTGATGTCAGGACAATGCTGAGTGCATGCAAGATGGCTGCCAGAGACAACCTCTCCGTGGTTCTCAGTGGTTTGGGTTCTGAGGAGGCCTTTGCCGGATATCAGCGCCACGTGCGTGCCTGTGGTGCCGGCGATGTGGCCACGCGCAGGGACCGCACGCTGGGCTTGGCACAAATGTGGCACCGGGACTTGCAGAGGGATTGGGCTGTGGCCCGATTGGCCAAGGTGCAAAACATCAGTTCAACATGAGACACCAGTGAGGATGTGTACTATAAACACTATTCACTCTTCGGTGCAGACTTATATAATATATATATATAACTCTCTCTCTCTCTCTCTTCTTCATCGAAGCACAAACAGGTGCTTCAGAGTCCTGGAGGTTTTTAGAGTCCTGGAGGTTTTTTGCTCGCGTGGTTTCCGGCCGGACCGAACCCCGGTTCGCTGCAGGTGGAGATTCGCTATCCCTTCCTGGATGCCGACCTCTTGGCGATCGCCCTGAACCTGCCCTCGGGAGAGTTCCTCGGGCGGTCGAGACCGCGGGGACCCGCGGGCGCCGGTGCTGAGGCTGAGGCCTGTGCGGATGGTGGGAAGGGTGCGCTACGTGCAGTGGCTCGAAGCTTAGGAGCTCCTCAACGTGTTTCAGAGAGGAGGAAGAGAGCTGCTCAGTATGGCTCGAGGATCTACAACGCCTTGAAGATCTTATCCAACGAAGCTGGAAAGCAGCAAGAAGACTCACGATACCACCAGGCGAACTATGTGATGTCTGTACCCGGAGCGTCACACTCACCAATTGCGTTGCTTCACACCAGCGGATACCATAGCATCCAGGTGTATTGCCTGCTCAGGAGTTGGCGCTGTCAAATCGCCTGCATCATTCCCCCCAGTGACCAAGACTCAGACTACGCCGCCGCCAAGGCCTTTGCGGCTTCGCTCCAACTGCCGCTCTTGCGGTGTGCGGTCAGATGTTCTGAGGGCTACGAGATGGCAGGTTTGATGGCAGCACTGAGACTAGCCAAGGAGGACACGGGCACCACAAGGAGTTGAAGAATATTCAACATACAACATACACGATCATCATCCCAAAGCATACTATCACCCACAAGAAGCCCAATATGAGCTGTAAGTTTATTTCAATTACTTCTTATCGGGGACGTTTCATTGACATTGCCTTTTATCGGATTTCCTTTGAGCATTCTCTAGTCGGTTTGTGAGCGTCAGGAATTCCAGATTGAGGCGGCCGCATGTGGCCATGTCTGCGACTTGGACTTGTGGGGTTCCTTCGCAGCCGCCTGTGACGCCGTCAGCCTCCGAGCAATGGCACCTGAGTGGGGCTCCTGCCCATCCAATCAGTCCAGCATGCGTCGCATAGTGCACGACGGAACGGCACTTCAACTCACCAAGTTTCCATTGTCCAGCTGGCTTGGGCATACGATTTCGAGCCCGGAGGACCGGGGTTGCCAGTTTGCAAGATTAAGGAACACATTTGCAAACCATTGCTGTCTAACTCCAAATGTGTGATTCACAGAGTGTTGTTCATGTCCCTTCTGGATGAAGAAAGGAGGCAGATGCTGTTTTGGACGCTTTGCAGACGATTTGTGGCCCAGATGCCACTGACGACACCGATGCGGGCTACGTTGATTGTGACTTTGTCTCAAGCCCCTTTCTCCCGTGTGGAGTACGAGATGTTAGAGACAAGAGCGTAGCGCTTGTTTCTGCCCTACTGCAACAAAAAAGACTTTGCTTTCAGAGTCATGTCCATGGACTTTTTCAGGTGCTTGTTTAGTTGTAAAACCGACAAATGCACTTGACCTTTGGTGAAGAGGTACATTGAAAAAAGCAGACGGATTGCATACCTTCTACAGCTACAGCTACATGATCGTTTTTTTGCATCGCAAGTGTTCTATTTGCGTGTGTGTGCAAGTCCTCTTGATGAACGTGAACCTGGCTCTTGGAGATCTCATCCCAGTCATCCCATCATCGCCTAGTGGTTGTAGAATGGAGAGACACCCCACCCCCCTTGGTAAAAATGGGAAAATGACACATGACTAAACGCCATTGGCTGAATCTCTCCCTGCAATACACACACCCAATATATAAGTGAGTCTCTGAGTGTTCGTCTCAGGCGTTTAGCCCGGTGATCGGTCGATCATGGCACCTCCAAAACCGCAGGACATGCCGATTCTGAGTCACCAGGATGACGGCTGAGCGTGCAGATCTTCCCGGAGCACGCGTTGACAGGGCGCCTCTTCAGACAAAAGGACAGCAGCTGTGGAGCGTCAAGCCGAGTGCTGCAGATTTGCCACGCATCTGTGGAGCGAACACAAAAAATCGAAGCTTAAGGTATTATTACTAGCCACTTGCAAGATTTGAAGCAAGATGGGGGATATTTTGGACAACTTGATTGATCATTGTTTCAGCCGCCCAGCGAGACGGCGAGCACACTGGAGCATATTCTTCAGTGTACAGTCTACAATGTCTATAACATCGTATATATTTACACGATCTGTTGCTTTTCCGGATTCCGTTCCAAACCTTGTGACCGCAATACATCATAGTACATCCATAGAAACTATGTGGTGGGCTTGCCCTCCAGCTGATGTGGGCGCTTGTTCCATTTTGACCATGGGCTCCAAAGTAGCAACGGAAGCTGATCTCGTATTGAATCGAGCTTGAGTTCCAAAACCCTTTGCAATGTCCTCCCAAAAATGTGGCAAGCATCAAAAAGGGTTCCTCAAAATGATCCAAGTAAACAGAAACTTTGTGTCCACTCGCTTTTCAGCGTTGATCCTCTAGATCTACAGTGTATCGATCGCTCCAGAGTGAACTCTCCAGGCTTGTCCCCAATCCAAAGCTGAGAGCTGGCTCAGGGAGTTTTGGACCACCCACCAGAGCGTGCTGGTGTCCCATCATGTGCAAGTCAGACAGCTACGTGCTCGATGAGAGCTTCAATCCGGAAGAGTTTGTCGCCGACATCAAAAAGGCCAAGGCCGCCGTCGGAGAGGCCACCGAGGAGGATGCTCAGCACCTTCACCGTTTGGTCCTGATCTCCCAGGCGGCCGGTGTCGACTGGTGTTCCTGTTGAGCTTCACTCATTGAATAGCTTGCACATTAGACATTTGCTGTATGGAACCCTGCATCATGACCGTAGCAGCCATGCAATTGAGTGGTTCATCCCAATCTCCTGACAGCGTGTAAACATTTTGGTGGTGAGGTAGTACTCTATGGTGGCCACATTTTCTTGCTGCTGGGAGCTGCCATGCCCTCGATGGCGGCCTTGCTGCTCTGTGGGCTAGGCGCGGAAGAATTCAGCGACCATTGAGTGAATCCTCGCTGGGTTAGCGTGCTTAACATTCACAGATCGTACGTAGAGTCCACTCAAGGCAATAATTTTGGCAATATCATTGGCTTGGAATATCTTGAGATTGTATACTACATGTTCCATGATGTTCTGCAACATCTTCTTGCAGTTGTCTCTTGTTCTCTTGTTTTCCAAGGATGCCAACTCCTTTATCACCTACATGTCCAAAACGTACTTAAGCATACTTCAACCTTCTCATATGTCTGCCTGACATTGCCACCGGTGCTCACCGACTTGGGAATTAAGCATGAATATCCCAAATCATCTTGGCAGAGAAGGCATGCTTTTTGTCTCGGGCCTTTTGTAACTTCCCATCGCATTCGACGATGGCGGCCACGGACCAACACAGGGCCTGAGGATCATGTGACACTTGGTGACACGTGTGGCCGGGGACGTGGAGGCGTTGTTCTATTTTTGGGCAAGACACATGTTGTTGGCATTCATTTTTTTGGTGGGACAGGGTGGGAGGCATTTCCTTGGGGCCAAAAACGGTCTCCTCAGCAGCGGTCAGACGTATGTGGTCGAGCACATTAGATATTCCAAGTGCATGGCTCCGAGGACACATGTTATAAGCCATTGTTTTAGGCAGCAAAAGCATGCTTCCGTAGCATGGACAACTGGCAACTGCCAGTAGAGAAAATTCATCTCACCACTCACTTCCAGCACCCGCCCGTAGGTGCCTGCATGATTGCCTTCGCCCGGTGCATGAAATGGGCCATCATTGGACACCATGTTTCCCACGGTGGCTACGACAGCTTGCAGAAAAGCCATCCCAATGCCTTGCCGGCACACTACAAGCGGGGTGTCTTTGCCATTGGCGTCCGACGCTTCTTCGACTGGCTGGACTGGATGCTGCCTCAGGCTTGGGATGTGGAGCACAACAAGGCCCACCACTACTACCTCTCTGAGGAGAAAGATCCAGACTTGGTGGAGCACAACACAGCAATGTTGCGCACGCTCCCTTTGCCCAAGAGCATGAAGTATGCCTTTTTGCTGCTCTGGGTCTTCACCTGGAAGCTCACCTATTACTCCCCCAACACCTACAAGGAGCTTGTGCTCTCGGAGAAGAAGGGCTGGTTGGCACGGAACTGGCCCAGCTGGACCAAGAAGACTGACCCGGTGACGGTATTTGATGCCCTCAGGATGCCGTTGGAGTCTCTACTCAGCGGGAAGGTCATGGATGCCTTCTTCTGGTTGGTCTTCTTTGCGCAGTGGAGCACAGCAATATTCCCAATGCTCATTTCCGTTCTGCTCCCTGCAGCATGGCCACTCTTGCTGGGCAGGGCTGGGCTTTGGTTTGGGGCCACTACGGCAGGGCAGGCCGCGATTCGAGCATTGATTACTTCCCTAGTGGCAGACATGCTGTCGAATGCACATGCCTTCGTGATCATTGCTTGCAACCACTCAGGTGGTGATCTCTACCGATACTCCACATCTTGCAAGGCCTACTCGGCAGAGTTTCTGCTTCGCTGCACCTATTCCTCAGCCAACTTCGAGTGCGGCAATGATCTCATTGACATCGTCTACGGATGGCTCAACTACCAAATTGAGCACCACATGTACCCTGACATGACGCCGCTGCAGTACAGGAAGTTCCAGCCACTTGTGAAAAGCATTTGCAAGAAGCATGGTGTGATGTACGTCCAGCAAAATGCATTGAAGCGCACCTGGATGATGTTCCAAGTGGCAGTTGGAGATGCACAGATGAAGCGGTGCACCGCGCTGGTGCCCCCAAAAGCCTATGAAAAGTCCAAGATTGAAACGTCCGCTGAGGAGAGTGGATGAGAACTCTGGGCTACTTGGGCTCAGAACTTGCTTCAGAGACCGAAGATCGACGCAGCCACCTGCTCATACCTTGAATCTTGAGCTCTGGGTTGTTTGGGCTCAGGGCCGACAGGGCAAGCCTGTTCGGGGTCTTAGGCAAAGCTGCCAGAGATACGCCTCGCAGGAGAATGTTCCAAGGGGGGCATTCTGCGTATCGCATTTCGCTTGTAGTAGCAATTGGATTGTGTTGTCCTCCTTGAGTCTCATGGCCTTTTCCTGTTAGGAAGACAGACGCTCCCTATAGCCCCAAGTTGCACCCTTAGGGCATCTGCGCATCCAGAGTACCAAAAAGTATGTTGAGCTACAGTCAAGACGGCAAGAGCCATCAGCGAAGTTGTACTGACTGTGATAGGTCCTATCTACAATGGTGACATTGTGCACATGACATTCTGATTCAACGATATTTAAAGGCAACATGGTGAGCAGCTGACCACTGGGGGCCTTTCTGCGTGTGGGCCAGTGCTGGCCAGTGCTTCGAGTGAGTCGAATCGCAACGGACGTTCTGGACGTTCTGGCTCAAAGGGATGTGGTCGCTTGTTGGTCCATTTTGACCATGGCTCCAGGACGGGATGGTGGTGAGTCGCGGGTTTGTTCGAGAAAGGTGACGGGATTGGGTCATTGAGTTATTGAATCATATGTGAAGCATGGTGAAGCAAGGAAGGAAAAAAGAAGGTAAGGGCCAAGGGCCTTATTATGAGGCCCTTACCTTCTTAGAATCCCCCTCCTTGCTTCATTCACCAATTCTGCTGCGGCTGACTGCGAAACGACCGAACCGCCTGCACCACGCCCCGAGAGACAGCGGGCTGAGGACAACTGGGCGTCCCAGATGACCCAGAGAGTCCCAATCGTGACAGCAGCAAAGCATCGTCCTCGGTCGGCCCGGCATCGCTTGGCTCCGGCGCCGGCTTCGCCGAAAAAGGGTCAGCCGTTGCTGGCTTCGTTGGGGTTTTGGCAGATGAATGCAGATGAATGCAGAATCACAAGAATGGCGGGGATTCGGAGTGGCCTCCTTTAGGATTAGGTTCAGCCAAAGCTGAAAATGGTAGAGTTCTGCAAATCGCTGGACTCAAATGAGGATTGGCTCTCCTTCTTCCTTTGTTCGCAAGCGGTGACAACCAGAAGCAAAGATGGTTTGGACTCAGCATGTTTCCAGGGTCAACAGGCGCCTCGTACCGGTACTGAGTGTTCCGGAAAGAGCGGCCCGGCCTGAGGAATTAGGATGTTAGAAGGGTGATCGAGGTCAAACATGTGTATAGCACCCAAAAGAAAGAAGAACAAGATTTTTTTTTCATTAAAGAAGAGCAATCAACTTTTGTGTTGTTCTTTGATCAGGGCTTGTCACATTCTCCAGCATGCCAGGGTCGTCCTCGATCCAAAGCTGCCAGCCGGCTCAATGAGTTTTTGGATCGGCAGAGCGAGCCGGGGGAGCCCAGTTCTGAATTTCTTTTAGTAGCTTCTTGCTACTAGTAGTGATGGCCTCCAACCTAGTAGGTTCTTGCTACTATGCTCGAGGTGATCATCCACTATGAGTAAGGATTCCCTCATGTTACCTCTACTCCTCCACTTACACAAGGGGGCTCACGAACTTGTGGCAGCGACGAATAGACAGCTTTCAACCATGTTTCTGCCTACCTTTGCTGAATATTTTTGCTTGAGCTGGCATTCTAGGACTTCAATGAGTGGCTAGTTGTGAGCAGTGAGCAAGCAAAAGAGCACCCGGGCGCGGCTTAAACTGTAGGTTCGCACTAAGCGTGAAGCGTTGCAAGGTTCGCAGTCTTCCACTCCCTTGTGCATGGGTGGGAAGCGTTGCAACTGTTGCAGTTTTCACAGCACGCCTCTCCTGGCGCCACTGCTGTCGTTGGTTGTGAGGCCAACGCCTCAATATTTGATCCGACGAGCCACTTCGAAGCTTCATCGTGAGTTGGTGGAGGATACAAGGTGCAACGGGGCTTCCAGGTGAACTCCGGCTTGGATCGGTGATGGATTCAGAGTAGACAGCTGGTTAAAAATGGACCCCCATCTAAAAGGCGCCTTGCGGCGCCATGTGCTCTGAAACCACTGTAAGTTTAGGATTCAAGAAACCAAACATACAACGCCTGCTCGAAGCCTTGGTGGACTATGGTTCTAAGATGTTCTAAGTCACTCCAGATCCCTGTCGTTCCATTGAATCTCGCAGCGGATCTGGATAGCTGCCCGAGATGCTGGCTTGTCTCCTTGATAAGGAAGACTAGCAGTTCATAGGAGTTCTTAAAGGGGTCCAGAAAGTGTTCCTCAAGGATCCTTGAGGTGGAGTTTGATTAACCTTCCACCTTGACTCTATATCACCTTCAACGCTATCAGCTATCACATGATGTTGTTTCGCAAAAGTATTGCCGGCATAAAAAGAAACCGATCAGGTAATCCAGAAAGAAGCACAGTGCTACGTTGTTCCCACAAGAACTTGAAGACAACGCCGTTCAGCCAGGGCCTCCGACGATGCTGGATTGCTTGGAAATCAGGGTCCCGAGGTGCAACTCGGAGAATCTCAGCTTTTGGATTCGTACCCAAACACCACCACAACCTTTAAGGGAATTGAGCTCACCAGCAGGACTACCACCGTTGAAGATCGTTTAAGTCCTTAAGGTTTTGTGTTTGATAATGTGTTGCCCAGAGTCTTTGCACACATAGCACGCCTGATGTCAATGCACGGGAGAGCTGCACCTGGCAGGGATTCCGCCTCTTGCTTTCTCGAAAGTTTGGCTCTGTAGCCGCGCTGCCCTGTTTACCGCAAAGAGTGGTTGATCTACAGAATGGTATCCAGTAACTTGGCCAAAAGGCTTCTGTGGACTTGTTGGACCTGGCAAGCTCTTATCACACCCCCGGTCGCCCTTTCCACGTCAGGCAGCGGCATGGCGTGTGTCTCTGGATCCGGATGGCAATGGACGGATCTCCTTCGGCCGTGGCCCTATCCAGCTGTTAAGTCCGGATGACGTGCCGATGTGCCATGGAAACCAATCGCTGTCAGGGTCTTCCTGCAGCAAGCCCACGATGTTTCTGATGTGCTCCTTGTCCGAGGTGAGTTCAATCATCGATGCCGACAGATGGGCTTCACCGGGAATCTGCGAAAGTGGGGGGTGCTCGGTGTACCGAGACGTTTCGCTCAGAGAGCTCAGCTGAGCTTCTGATTTCGTGGAACAGCGTTTATATATGGTTGTCGATCTAAAGGTCCTAGTCAGCAGTGTGTATGACGATGACCCGGAACATATCAAAATCTCATTTGGCGAAAGTTTTTTCTCGAGTTGGCGAAAGTAATTTTTTTTTGGCGAAAGATCTGGCGAAAGATTAAATATGTACTTTTGTATGAATGTTCATTTGCTTTCTGAACAGCTGGTGGCAGTGACTCAGAAGCTAGATAAGCTGTGGAAGTTAGATAACCTGCTGCTGCTGCGGCTGCTACTACTACTACTACTACTACTACTACTACTACTACTAGTACGACTACGACTACGACTACGACTACCACTACCACTACCACTACCACCACCACGACCACGACCACGACCACGACCACGACCACGACCACGACCAC